AAATCCTAGTTTCCAGCTTCATTAGTCCTCATCGGAAAAAATGTGATATGAAGAACTAATTTTTAAAATAAAGCTTTCTACAGTTTAACCTTGACATAACCCAGTCACTAAATACAGATTTATGTATGTAGGGGCGAGTATCATAACCGCAAGGCTTGCCAAACCAAAAGAGTGAACTTGAACCCATTATCTATTAATGTATAACTAAATGCTCTTACCACTAGACAATTTAACTTATGGTCCTATTAAAAACACTGATAATCACAATGTTAACTTACTCACATAAACCTATACGATTCTTAAAGTGTCATACATAATAAGTGTTAGAAACAATAAAAACATGTATAAGAATCCTTTGTACTTGCACCAATATGCTTTAAGTAAAATAATTAATTTAATGGCTAAATTTAAATACAACATTGCCTAATCTCTTTCTTTTACTAATGAACATATCCTAGAAAATAGTAAAATGACTTTTATCTATTTATTTATTTTAACATATAAATATTGGTAAAAGGAGGCACCAAATACATATCGCCACATAAAACTCATTTGTTATGTGTGAGGGCTGTGATACTGCCCGGGTGCCCAAACCGAAGCAGGTGGTTTTCTTAGGGGGCCACACCCGGAGTCTTCGACCTGAAGGTCTGATCCACAAGGCAGTGGAGCATCGTAAGGAAATGCAGTCCCATGGTAGCCGGTGACCAACGATTGGTTCATACGCCACTTGTTCCCGCAGGATACTGGAGACCATGTGCACCATTGGTTTGGAATCAGGGTTTTCCAACCCCCTAGGTGGACTCCCCATGTTCACCAACCCGGTTAAAGCGCCGGACATTCGCGTTCCGTCCTCTCAACTTCGTAAACAACACCCCTGCCACGAGAAGGCATGGAGTAGGACTTCTATGGCAGAGGCTATATACGCGTGGCCATGTGGGAGCATTTCGAGAGGGATAGCGGACTCTCTCTACTCTCGGCCGTACCAGGGCATTTGGGGGCATTAAAAAGGTTTGTAGTTTTAATATTATAGATCAGATGGAAATTTATAGATTTATTTGTTTGTTTATTTATTTATTTTTGATCAGAAACTATCGATTAAGTAGTACATTACTTGATGGTAAACGGAAGTAAAATAAAACATTTTATCTTGTATGATGTCAATATATTAGTACACTATAGCAAAAAATATCATATTCCGATTTCTGAACCACGAAGCACTTATTGATTTTTTGTGTATAAAAAGTAAATGATCAATAAATATATTTACACAACTACATACTGTCTGAGGTTTTTTAAAAATACTTCTCAGACAACAACAACTCTAAATCATCATCCTGGAACGAAATCTGAACGACAATATTCAACTTTACATGTTCAGATTTTATAGTCCGTAGAGAAAAACAAGTAAATTAAAGGTCCATATGATCATTAAAGTAAATATTTATACCCTTTTATACATAGACTTTGAGTCATTCACATGTTACATGTTTTGTTCGGAATAACCTTCTTTATAATTAAGTATGTAGTATTAAACAAAATGATCATTATAAATAACATATTTGTAATATCCCAATAAGTGAAAAAAATAGACTCAGACGTTTCGTGACTTAATGTAAACCACTTCTTTAGAGAATAAATAACCAAATCAAAATTAATCCAATATGTAGGTATCATTACCAAGGTTTGATTTGATAATTTCAAATAAATTGAGCATTGTTATTAATTAATTAATAGATTTGTAATATCCGACTAAAATTTGAAAAATTCCCATATTGTAAATTTAGAACAATATTGTTTTCGATTAGATCCTCATCAGGCTTTACTCTAATATACAGTAATATTTATATGCATATACAAAATTATTAAACCAATCAAGGTAGTTTATAAATCAATGATAACAATGGAAAAGATTACATAATAAGCAAAATGTGAAAAGTACAAATTGATGGTGTGACAACAGGTGCATTAGTTTTGATAAGCAATAATAATAAAGGTTCAAATCAATGTTACATAATTGGAAATAGGTCAATGATTAGAAAAATATAGAAACTGAGATAACAATTATAAAATTATAAGATGACGTAATAAGAAATGTTCAGATAATTGGACCATGAAACGTATAGTTGGGAGAAAATAAAGTGGTAGGAGGGTGTGAAGAAAAATAATAAACGAAGAGGAAGTTAGAAAAAGAATAAATAAATAAATAAATTCATTTATTACTTAAGGCCAAGGGAGAGATAAGGGAGTTACAAATTTCTTCTGAACACAAAGACTTGGCTTGTTGGCTCGGATTCCTATAGCTTCTGCTATGTGTAAGAGACGAGATCGAACACCATAAGGAAAACTAGTGGGAATCCGGTAAATAACTTTGAACGACTTGTTTCTGTCCACTATATGACCGCTATCGATCAAGTGTGATAGAACCGAGTAAAGCCTGATGAGGATCTAATCGAAAACAATATTGTTCGCTTATATATGTTGTTCTAAATATCCAACTAAGTAGAAAAATTAGATTTTCTGACGTTTCGTGACTTCGAGAAAGCCACTGCTTCAGAGAATACATAAATAACCAAATCAAAATTAATCCAACTTTAAATATGCTAGGTTTGAAGCAGTTATGAGTTCACTTAGACTGTGAACGGAAACAAAGGCTCGGTGACCAAAGACCAACAATTTAGCTATTCGATGCTCTCCAGGCCCTCTAACAAGAGGAAGAAGTCCAAGCTTGGAATGAGGAAGTATATTCCGCAAACAGCCAGAAAACGAGCGATAACAACAAACACAAATCAAAATATGTATATGCAGCACAAAACCGTCATTGCGGAGAGTTACAAAATAGTATACTAAAAGACACAACAGACTAATAGCATTCTAGATTCCCCCAAGTGGGAAATACGATGTGAAGGTGAAAGGAGCGCTTTTGGCGCGAGAACAAAAGAATTCAAATTTTCTAAATAAAATTACAAAACTAGGTCCCTTTCCATGTGCGTTCTGAGGATCTAACATCCCTAACAAAATAATACAAACGGAACAACAAGAAAAGAAATTAATTATTATTTTTAAAACTTGTAGTTCTGAATAATGATGACATAATACGTTGAAGTTGAATTGTGAATTATCAGTATGTTATTTAGTAGATACTATAACTTAATTACTAAGACAAATTTAATACAATACCAAATAAAACTTAATTATAAGTAAATAATTGACAATAATAATAATCAATAACTTACACCTTGATAAAATAAATTATGTAAAATATCCCGGTCATAATGTTTTATCAAATAACATATCGTTAAAAAGTCATTTAAATAAATAGACAGTTATTAATTAGAAAACATAGGTGATAAACATTGAACAGAGTAAAACTTGAAGTTTACACTCTGTACTAATAATAATCTTTAATCGTTTAAAAATAAGTAAGGGTTTTTAATCTCACTTTGTTAACTTACAGGACTGCAATTGATCAATCTCATACTAATACTTTCATATCTACTGAATAAGTTTATGGCTACATGAATTCAGTAGCTTAGTAAATAATATGTTTTTATTAGAAGTGAAAATTACTGGGTTTGAGTGAACATCAACATTGGAATTCAGGTATATCAAGCTAACAAATAGGACGAGACTCTTGTCTTAGACCCAAATACTGTTCACATAATATATATTAAAAGCACTTTGAATAGTTCTGATGATTGTGTAGATTTCACAAAACAAATATTTACAGTTAGTTCCCGATAAATTCACTCACCTTTACTTTTATATACATATCCAGTAACGAAAATATACTATGTCGAAAGTGAGGGTCATTGATTTTTACATGACGAATCAGATCAATTTATTAAGTCACAAATTATTTTGAAACTAAAGAAGACATCATCAACAGTTCTGTGTATAAATATTTTTTTCTGTATCAGTGACGATAAATTAAAACTTGCAGTTCTAAATAACCTGTACTGTAATTAATAAAATAAAGTGACTCTAACTGATTAGTATGAAAGTGGTCATTTTATCCTAGAAAATCATGTGTTGACAGGAATTGAATATGAGTTATCCAGGTAAATGACATTACCGTGCAAAACCAAAGCCTTAGCCTTAAGACTCTTATTTATTTTTAATTTAAACTATATGATGTGATTTTCATGCATCCACCACAATACAAGTTTTTTAAAGCTAGTTGAAGTTTGTTTAAAAAAATTAATCCACCTGTTATACGTAATTTATACCCATACAGAAAAAGTAACTCAAATGTTACTGCTAAATCAGAAATTTTTTTAACTTTTAGAAAGTTTTCAGCCGTTACCTGTTAACCATTATAAATGCATCTTATCTGGTCGATATTAAAGTACCGAAATATCAAACACATGATCCACGTATATCATTGAAACAAACCTATTAATCCTGACCAATCGTATACAGTGTTGTTGGTTTATTTACATGTTAAAGCTCAATTTAATGTTATGTTTGTACAAATTATACAAACCAGTATAATATTTGGGATTTAGTCGAAGAAAACGTGTTACACCCAAAACTTTCGATTGCTTTACATTTTCGAAGTACATAAAATTAAAACATTTTATGGGTATATAGCATAACATATTAATAATTTCCTATGTACATTACTCTGTTGTGCTAACCAAAACCAAATATACATAACAGACATACATAGGTTTAAACACCACTTAAATGTGCTTAGTGAAAAATACATTAGTTGAGTCAAAAATTCTTTTAGCCTAACTAACAACTAATCAGTATTTTGTATACTCATTCCACCCCCACTATAGTAATTCGATTGGCTGTTCTTACCAAGAGTTTTATTTACGATTTATTTCATGAGGTGATAGTATGAAAGACACAACACTGAACACAGGCAAATAGGTTCCCATACTCTACAATTAGTTATGTAAATTTACGTATAGATAATTTTCGATTGTGAGTGTATGAGAGAAATAGGCATATTGATCGTCCAGTTTATAAACTTTAGTAGCTTTTAATCAAACAGTCGGTTGATATTTCGTGACCGGTTTTATATTTTGACTGATTTGTATGGGAATGGATAGTAGTGCATCGGAAGTCGTCAAGATGGAAACACCAATGTCAAATGATAGTGAAAAACTGTTCTCAGTGAGTTAACATTTTATTTATTTTATGGTTCTGATTTAAATTTTTTTGTTATGATGAAGTAAAAGTATTTTTCTATCAGAAAAAAACTTATTTATTTCATGAAAAGCGACTTACTTTGTTATTTTATATAATAAGAAAAATTCCATTTCCTTAGGTTTCTACAACTAGCTGGAGTCATTGATTTCCTGTAAGGTTTTTTAATCACCAAGCATACTATCGGTTAAAAAGGATTGCAAACATTTTTGGAGATATAACTCTAAACATACATTAACTTATAAAATCAAACACAGAACTCTAAATCTTTACAGATAGTACATTCCATTTTCAGCTATTGGGTTTACTTCAAGTGGTTCTGAATTTAAATTTCAACCAATTCATCAATAAATTTTGTAGCACTTTCAATCGTTATAACCTCTGATTTCATTAGAGAGGTTTTTAAAAGTTATAAACGTTATCAAAACACTTGAAAATATTTGGCAAATGTCAATTTTTAAACAAAGCAATTTCTTATATATACACTACATGATTTTATAGATCTTCTACTCATGTAATAAGGTTCAAGAAATATGCTTTCCAAGTTATAGTCAATGGTAGAATCAATGAAGTAACCAGTAGAATAATGGCAACACGTGAAGTTTAGTACTTGTATAATCGATAAACAATTTTGATATTTGTTTTTAAATACTTATCTAGATTGTTGTGAATTCAGCTTACCGTTGAACTCTACAACTGTAATAATCTTCAGATACTACTTATCTTCAAACCGTATATAATGTTCACACAACGCTAATGTGAATATTGTAGTGCATCGATGTGTCCTCAAAAACAAATTTCAGATCATCTAAAGAATTACAAAACGGTTAGCAAGTTCATGTATTTCAGAAGTTTTTATACTTAAGATAATAATACAGTTGAGTGTAATCAAGCAAAAAAAGCATCTTTGCTTGAACTATTCAGAATTTTCAGTAACTTTTACTGATTAACCTCATTTCGGCGGTAAATTCATCTTATCATATTAATGTGGTATGACTGTCTTCTCCAATAAAACATTAATTACCCATTGTTACATCCTTGAATTGACAGAAGGCCTAAAACTATATTATTATATTATTACTTACTGGTGTTTTTAGCTGTTCGATTATTTTGCATAAATATTTTTTTCCTGAAGATTGGACATATTTCATACCCAGTTCATCATTGTTGTGGTTCTAACTAAATAAGCTGGAAATAATTATCTTACCATGCTATAATTTCATTTGCTTCATGTCCATGTTTTGTTTGTGGTATTCGTTTTTAATATGACAATTAAACATTCACCCTATTTCTATAATGCGATTTCAACAAAACAAGTTATTCTATTTTACGTAAAATAACCTAGAAAAACTATACACTTTTAGAGGTTTTCCAACTTAATTTCTTATATTACCCATTAACAAACAATAGGATGTGATGTTTTTAGAAAGTTAAGAAAATACTACTTAGGATCCTTATGAAGTTAAATAAATGAATCACTATTATTCTTTCTTTATACATGGGAACTAGATAAGCAATGCTAAGAACGCGATGAATAACTTATCATTATTTGAGTACTCTAGACGAAAAAATCCTAAATTTATGACTGCTTAAATCAAACACTTCCAAGTGTCTTGTGGACTAGTTGGAATTAGACATTAACACCATTGGATGCCAGGTCAGTAATCTAAAAGTTAAGCGCTCGCGTGCGAGACTGATAGGTCCAGAGTTCGAATCTTTCAGGGGCGGTGTCGTAGATACGCACTTCTGAGGAGTCCTATACTAGGACGAGACGGCCGTTCAGTACTTCCAAGTTTTTCATAGTGATCTACAATTAACTCATGAATTCATCTATTAAAAAATTACTTCCAATTATATCTAATCTTTTCATTCAATCATAACCAGCAAAAATAGTTTACTGGGTTAAATAAAATATCATAAAGAAATTTGATAATACATTCATACCCTCAAATTGTCATTGGTTAGTATATTATCAAAACCATACTGAATTTTTTTAAACAATAATCTATCTTCCATCTATCTTGGTAATAATTCTACTAAAATAAATATTTTCTCTTATAGTTTAAAGTAAAATTTAAGTATTTAATAAGAAAGTCTTGTGATCCATATCTAGTTAAGTTGATAATGAACTTTAGGTTACTGTTTATTGAATTACACTAGAAACCTTTTCAAATCTAATATTCTCATCAATAGTTTCTCATGGTAACTGATAAGAAAAAATAAATATCGTCTATCAATATAAAGCATAAATAGATCATCTTATTGTGTAAATTGCAAGTCGAATTGTCTTTTTTTTTTAAGAATGACTTTTTATATTCCCTAATGAATTATTAAGATTAAATATATTACTTTCTATAGTTTATTAGTTTGCTTGTTATTTATTTTTGTATCAATCATATTCAATCTATTACCGTTTGATACATACATTGTATATGAGTTCTATTATAAACTAGTTAATCGATTGTCCGATGATTTTCCTTTTGTTTATTATTTAAAGTATTAACCGAATTAATTCTTTATTTTCTTTCATTTATTTGTATGAAATCAACTGTTCTCTATAAGCTGTAAAGTTTAGACAATAATATGTATCAAACACTTTTATGTTGATAAATTTATTAATAAGCTTAATTCAAGTGTTTGTTTATGTGAAACGATAAGCTCTATGTACATTTAATTCGATAGAAAAAAAATGAAATAAATTCTCTATGATTTAAAGTATATAATATGTATTAGAAGGGGTTTTGTGGAGATTGTAGTGATTTCAGTAGTTAAGATCAAGAGTCAATTGAAGATAGAACACGATGGAAGCTCTGAAAGTACTGAACGGCCGTTTCGCTCTAGTATGGGACTCCTCAGAAATGCGCATCCAGGAGCCCACTCGCGGGATTCGAACCTGGGACTTATCGGTCTCGCGCGGGAGCGCTTAACCACTAGACCACTAAGCCGGCATCCAACGGTGTTAACATCTAACTTTAATTAATCCACGAAATTGAGCGACACATCTACCATTGTCATCAGATAGTTACTATCTCACAACTGATCCGGTTGAACTCCATTGTTCACTGCTTCTCACTAGAATTCCAGGATATATATCTTGAAGCCAATCACTAGTAAGCATATGTTGATTAGTATTTGAAGGGGTTTTGTGGAATTTGTAGTAATTCCAATAGTTGAGATGTAATATGTATCATTTCTTAAATATAGTCCATTTTTTAATGTAAACGATCACTAATTTTATACTTAAAATGTTACATATAGTGTATAATACATATGTTAAGGAGTCCTATATCAAATATAAACTACAGTGTAAAAAGCTAATAAACAGTTGCCTCATTTTAGTCTGTAAAATATTTAGGAATTTATACATTTGTTCAGATAAGAACATTCAAGTTTTATGGTAAACACAACACGGTTAATCTACTGAAATTTAATGCGCCTGCATACATCTTTCAACTTTACTTTAGTTGTAGGTTTAGAAGAAAATCATTCGTCGTTATTAGTGATAGTAGACTGATTGGTCAATTTACAAATTTCATTAACATAATACTATTTTAGCGAGGATGTCTCTCATTATTTTTTTTTGGACATTACTTTCAAACACATATTACACATTTATAAACGACTAGAGTATTGTTCATTTTTAATGAATACCATATCAACATTTACGGAAATGTGATGGGCAACGTTTAAACTATTATGCCTTTCTGTAGAAGCTATGTTCTATTAGTTATGTTATTTAAAACAGTATCACTAGTTGTACGATTGGTACTTGTTGTTCTACTCACATTACAAATAAGTGTATGATCTATCATAATACTTCTAACCAATTTTTTCTTAATAAAGTCATGTAAAAAACATTGATGAAGAATGAATGTTAAAATATGTTAAGTATATTGAAAAATTATATGTAAAGATTATGGAGGAACTAAGTTTTAGTTAAGAAAATAAATTAGTTGTTATAACAATATCATCCATTCATTTTAAATTCTGTGCCAGTATACAGAAATATATTAATTGTCGCATTATTATGCTTCAGTTGATATTCAACTAGACATAAAGTGGAGAAAAGAAAGAATGATCATTTTTGTCAGCTACGCTTTAGTTAAATACATCTATTTTACCAGTTGTATTAGATACTGTGTATAGAAAATTAATGAATTTTCTTCGCTATTACTATGCATATTTGTGATGAATAAATGACGAATCCCAAAAAGAACGAAACGCATATCCTGAATTCCACTATTAGTCATCATCTTTCTCTACTTAAAATTGTAATAAATAGCTTTGGAATTATTTCTAGTAAATGATTTATATTTTTTGGTAAAAATAGTTATTCTTTAACTGTATGTTTTTGAATATTATAACCGGACAAGTTGTTTGATTTTCATGTATTTCAAATCATTTTTCAACTTCATTTGAAATGATTGTATTTCTTTTCATAAGCATAATTTGTAAGATTTGCTAAATGTTAAATCGGTGGTATCCTAAAACATAACAACTAAGTGATAGTATTAACTGTGAACAGAAAAGAATTTTGAACTAGTTTTCCCCCTACAGTTGGACTTTTTATGTGGTAAATATTGGCCCAGAAATAACCCTATTTTCTGTTCAGAGTTAATCGTAAAAGTTACGATAGTTTGTGAGTAAAACTGGACTTCAAAATACTCCACTCTGAACAATTTTCCTGTTTATTTATTCTTCAAAAAAGAGCTGTTTAATAATTTCTTACTATTGTGTTGTAAAACAATCACGTTCTAAGCGATTGTTTAGTCTACCTTTACCAGATTTTATAAAGTGAAATTCTTTAGCTACTCAATTATTTCAATTTCAGTTAGTTAACGATATGGCAAAACGGTCGTTCAATGCATTTGATTAAACTCGAACCGCCACGAATTATCACTAGTACATCAGAAAAGCAACTCAAAATCAGTCTTTAGTCAACAGACTTTATAAAAACACCAAATGTA